CCCCATCTGTCACACACCTAGCACCACCGTCCACTCACGGCCCCCATCTGTCACACACCTAGCACCACCGTCCACTCACGGCCCCATCTGTCACACACCTAGCACCACCGTCCACTCACGGCCCCCATCTGTCACACACCTAGCACCACCGTCCACTCACGGCCCCATCTGTCACACACCTAGCACCACCGTCCACTCACGGCCCCCATCTGTCACACACCTAGCACCACCGTCCACTCACGGCCCCATCTGTCACACACCTAGCACCACCGTCCACTCACGGCCACAGAGACTACACGGACTGCTTTCCCAGACGTGCTGGCAGTTTGCCCACTCATGTTTGTGTTTCTGCAAATACATAATATGCTCGTAACTGCCTAGGAGAGTGTCCAGAGGGACAGACGCTAAGTGCTAATGGTGGTTACATTTGGGTTGGGGCTGGGCCTGCCTGGGGACCAGAGGCAGAGAAGGAAACACTAGGAAGACACCTGCTGTACATGTGAATGCAGACACATTCGCTGGACACTAACACCAAAATCTGATGGTCTCTGATCCCTTCCTGTGGCTTTGGAACTATCCCGCCTTCACTTCGGTAGACAGAGAATCAGAATAAAGTCAGTTCAGTCATTCGACCGAATCCAATTACGAAGGCCACGAGTGAAAGACGCTTTTTTATGACACCTGGGACTTTTTCAATCAGAGTTGTTTGGAGCGATGTTTAAATCAGAGTTACTGATAACGCTTAAGCAACTGTGCCTTAGTCATTAAGTCTGTGTAGGACACCTTGCTCGATGGGATGGGCAGACACTGTAAGTAGGAGGCCACCCCATTCCTAGCTGCAACTCTAGACCAGTCACTCAGCCTCAGACTGCCCAGATGCCCAGCTCCTTCCAAATAGTTACCTCGGCAAGTTCTTACCTGGCATCATAATAGTAAATAGAGATGCAGGTAGAATTTCTCTGGTTTAACTTATGGGATTTTTGGGGGTGGGGATGAGTGACCTCCCTTTGTCTGCAGAGCCTCCTGTCCCCTCTGCAGAAACCCCTGGGCTGGGGACTGGGCCTTCTCATCCCAACAATGATGCCTGCTTCCCTGGGGTTCAGTTCACTTAAGGTTAGATCAGGACAATCCATGCTTTGCTCAGTGAATTTTCATGTCATGCTGTCTCTCTAAAGGCCCAGAGAAGGGAGACGTGCTACAAATGAAGGGACTCAGAAATGGTGGCAGCCACTCTGGAAAACAGTATGGAGGTTCCTCAAAAAGTTGAAAATAGAGCTACCCTATGACCCAGCATTTCCACTACTGGGTGTTTGCCTGGAAGATACAAATGTCATGATCCAAAGGGGCACGTGCATCCCAATGTTTATAGCAGCAATGTCCACCATATTCAAACCAGGGAAAGAGCCCAGACGTCCACTGACAGATCAATGGACAAAGAAGATGTGGTGTGAAAATACAATGGAATATTCCTCAGCCATCAGAACGGATGACATCTCGCCATGTGCAACAACATGGATGGAACTAGAGGGTATTATGCTCAGTGAAGTAAGTCAATCAGAGATAGACAACCATCATGTGATCTCACTCAAAATTGGAATTTAAGAAACAAAACAGGGGAGCATAAGGGAAGGGAGGGAAATATAAAATAAGATGGAATCAGAGAGAGAGACAAACCATAAGAGATGCTTATGAGAACAAACGAAGTTTGCTGGAGGGGAAGGGGTGGGGGAGATGGGGGTCATTGGGTGATGGGCTTTAAGGAAGGCATGGGATGGAATGGGCACTGGGTGTTACAGAAGACAGATGAGTCACTGACCTCTCCCTCTGAAACTAATAATACACTATGTGTTAATGAATGGAATTGGAATAAAAATAAATTAATTTAAATAAAAGAAATGTCACTGATACACAAAAAAAGGAAAAAGTAGAATAAAAACATAGACAACAAAAGCTAGTAATTAGAAAGCAGTGAGGATCTCGGGGCTCTGTCGTGAGCTTCTAGTAGTAATGAATTAGGGGTCAATAAAGTGTGCTTAGCTGTGAAATTGAGAAAATAATTCTCCAGGAAAGAGCCTGGTATTCAAGGTGGAAGAAATGGGATGGAGAGGTCGGTGGTCGAGAGCCCTCGCTGGCAGCGGTGTCACCAAGGTCAAAGGAGCTGACCTCTGTCTTTCCTCAAGCGCACAGTGGGGAAAATAAAGCACTTACCTTCCAGGGCAGTTCTGAGGGTTAAAGGAGTTGAAACATGCAGAACTAGACAGAGTGAGGGTCCCACAGGCATGTGGTAAGTCCCCAGTGTGTAAACCACCACCATCATCAAAGAGCATCAAGATTGCAAGGGACCTGAATGTTTGCCCGGCTTCTGGCTGACATCTAGAAACCCCCACCCCCATGATATTTCCCATCCTGTGCTCCTCCGGAGACTCTCCCCATGTGGTTTTATAAATATTGACCATCAGTACTTTGTCCTCTTTATTTTGGCAGACAGGACTTGAGAACCAAGGTTGGGTCCAACCCAAGGAACAGAACAAGTAGCACCACCATGCCATCTAGATTGCTTTTTGTATTGGGGGGGAGCTTGTTTTTTCACTTTTTGTCATATTTTATCTTCCTATACTTATCTTCCTTTGCCTCCTGTTTTATTTTTTCCAGACCTATTTGATACTATGGATTTCTGTAAGCTGTCATAACATCACTAGGAAATAAAATTGATTAAAAATAAACCAGACAAGGGCACCTGGGTGGTTCAGTTACTTAAGCGTCCGACTCTTGATTTCAACTCAGGTCATGATCTCAGGGTCATGAGATCGAGTCTGATGTCGGGATCCATACAGGGCTGGGTTTCTCTCTCTCCCTCTCCCTTGGCCCCTCCCCACCTCTAAAATAAATAAATAACCAAACCAGACACAAATTAGTCTCTAAAATATCTACTGCTTTGGTGTTTTCCACCACATGATTGCACAGATACAGACACATAAACACCAAATCACGGAAAGGAAAAGGAACTGCACGGAAATTGAGACAGCAAGGTGTGAGGCTTACAGGAATGGCAGGTCGCGCCCGTGTATCCAGTGTGCGTGCAGTCACAGCTGAAGGTGTCCCAGGACTGGGAGCATTCGCCCCCATGTTCACAGTAGCTGGGCAAACACCTGCAAGAAAACAGATACACCGGCTTTTCCCCACATTCGGTCAGGAGAAAATGTGAGTCTTAGCGCTAACCTGCTACAGTGAAACATGGTACCAACAGGGCCTTCAGGAGAAAAATGAGACCGTGGACAAAACCTGCTGGGTCTGTAGAGAAGGTTTCCTAATGCAGTACCCACTGCAGACTAAGAAACCCACTAGATGCTACCAATTGTTCTGTGCTGGCAGCAGATGGATTTTTTACACACTGCAGATTCTATCAAAAAAAATTGTGGGGCTGCCTGGGTGGCTCAGTGGGTTGAACCTCTGCCTTCAGCTCAGGTCATGATCTCAGGGTCCTGGGATTGAGTCCCACATCAGGCTCTCTGCTAGGCAGGGAGCCTGCTTCCTCCTCTCTCTCTACTTGTGATCTCTCTGTCAAATAAATAAAATCTTTTAAAAAAATTGTGTTTGCTTTTTCACAAATAAGGCAAGATTGGTTTCATCCATGATCAGAGTCAAAGTACTAGCAAAGGCCAAAGGTGGCCAGCTGCACCTGTTCCCCTCCCGGCCTCCATGTCCTTGCAGTGGGACCTGCAGATCCTCCCACCGAGAGGCTTAGCCTTCTTCAACCTGGGTTGAGCATGGGACCTGCTCTGACAAATGGGTCATTAGCAAACTGAGACATCGGGGGCTAGAAGAGTATTTGGGGGTGGAAGACCTGTACCTGGAAAACTATAATATATTGATGAGAGAAACCAGAGATGACACAACCCGACAGAAAGACATGCTATGCTCATGGATTGGAAGAATTAGTATTGTTAAAACGTCCTCCTGCCCAAAGCAATCTACCTATTAAACACAGTGCCTATCAAAAGGCCAATAGTACTTTCCACAGAACTAGAACAAAAAAAAATCCTAAAATTTATATGGAACCACAAAAGACTGTGAATAGTCAAAACAATCTTGAAAAAGAAGAACAGAGCTAGAGGTATAATTCTGGATTTCAAACTATACCGCCAAGCTACAGTAACCAAAACAGTATGGTACTGGCACGAAAACAGACACGGAGACCCATGGCATAGAAGCGAGAGTGCAGAAATACACCCACAATTGTATGGTTAATCTATGGCAAAGGAGGCAAGAATATACAATGGTGAAAAGACAGTCTCTTCAATGAATGTTGGGAAAACTGGACGGCCACATGCAAAAGAATGGAACTAGACCACTTTGTTACACCACACACAAAATAAACTCAAAATGTATTAAAGGCCTAAATGTGAGACCTGAAACCATAAAACTCCTAGAAGCAAACATAAGCAGTAAACCCTTGCCCATCAGCCTTAGCAATATTTTTCTAGATATGCCTCCTCAGGCAAGGGAAACAAAAGCAAAAATAAACTATTGAGACTACATCAAGCTCAGAAAGTTTTGCCCCGTCAACAAACAAAAAGGCAACCTTTCAAATGAGAGAGGATATTTGCAAATGATATAGCTAATAAGAGCTTAATAACCAAAATATATAAAGAGTGGATATAACACAACATCAGAAAAACAAATTAAAAAATGAGCACTGAATCTGGACAGATGTCTTCCCAAGAGGCCACGACACATGAAAGGATGCTCTTGACTCATCACCAGGGAAAGGCAGATCAGAAGCACGATGAGATCTCATCTCACTCCGCTCAGAATGGTTAGTATCAAAAAGACGGAAATAGCAAGTGTTATGGAGAATGTGGTGAAAAGGGCAGCTTTGTGCACTGTTGGCGGGAATGTAACCTGGTGCATCAACTACGAAAACAGTATGGAAGTTCCCCAAAAAAGTAAGAATAGAAATGACATATGGTCCAGTAATTCCACTTCTGGGTATTCATCCAAGAAAAACAAAAACATGAATTCAAAAGGATACGCACCCTATGTTCATGGCAAGCATTGTTTACAACAGTCAAGACATGGAAGCAACCGGAGTAGTCATAACAGATGGGTGGACAAGGAGGTGTGGTCTATAAACACACAACGGTAGGCTGCTCGGCCATAGAAGACATGAAATCTTGCTATTTGATGGACCATGGATGGACCTAGCAGGTGTTATGCTCAGTGAAATAAGTCAGATGGAGAAAGACAAATACCATATGATTTCATTTGACTGTTGAATCTGAAAAAACTAAACAAATGAGCAAACAAAAGACAACAGAAAAGAGAAACAGACTCATAAACATGAGAACAAACTAGTGGTTGCCAGGTGACGGGGGAGGGGAGAAGGCAAAATGCGAATGGGATTGAGAGGTACAGACTTTGGTTATAAAATAAATGCCAGGGATGAAAAATACAGCAGAGGGAATATAGTCAATAATATTGTAATAAGTTTGTGTGCTGATACGTGGCAATGACTCCATTCAGCGTGAGTGTTTCATAATGTATGTAACGGCTGTCACTCTCTTGTCCACCTAAAACTAATACAATACGTCAACTGCTTTTCCATTACAGATTAGAAGAACTTCAAGTTAACTCAACTTAGATCATAGACCTAATTGTAAAATACCAAACTGTTAAACTCCCAGAAGAGAACGCAGGAGAAAAATCTAGCTGACCTTGGGCATGGCAATGACTTTTCAGATATGGTCTATGAAAGAAAAAATTGATAATTCAGGCTTCATTAAAATTTAAAACTTAAGGGAATGAGCATAGAGGCCACAGACTAGAAGACTGTCTTTGCAAAATCCGTATTTGACACAGGATGGATATCCAAAATATAGATAAAACTTTTTAAAATTCAACAATAAGGGCAATGAACAACCAACTAAAAACTGGGTCCAAAGAGTCAAAAGATCTGAACAGACGCCTTACAAAAGATGACCAGATAGAAAATGCACGTATGTAATCATGCTTGACATCATTAGTAATTAGGAAAGCTCAAATCAAAACCACAACGAGATGCCACTCCTCACCCACTGGAATGGTTCTCATCAAAAAGACATCATAACAGGGACAGGCAGGGACGAGGAGAATTTGGACCGTTCTATGTCACTGCTAGGAATATAAAATGGTACTTTGGAAAGCAATCTGGAAGTTCCTCAAGCAGTTAAATACAAACTCACCCCTGACCCAGCAACTCCGCTCCTAGGTATCTGCCCAAGAGAACCAAAAACACAGGTCTGCACAAAACCCTGTACATTCATGTTTATATCAGCATTATTCATAAGAGTCAAAAAGTAGAAACAACCTACATGTCCATCAAATGAGGAATGGGTAAAACAAGTTTGTTAATATCCTCACAAAGGAATGTTATGCATCACAACTTTGTCAATGATGTAGAAATGAAGACCGACATCAATTTAAAGGCAGATTACTTGGGTCCTGACAAGCCAAATGGCCTCTCTTGTTATATAGTTAAAGCTCTCAATATAGTCAAAAGCCTCATACATTGCAGGAACTTACATAAGTACTTGTTATCCTCTGGAGCTCAATGCCTATTTCTCTCAAGGAGTCAAAGGAATGGATAACTTTGGATTCCTTCTACTCCTATGCAGTTAGCACTCCTTTGCTCTTTGGGAGGAAGGTGCTGGAAATGAGCATAATGTCTTTCAAAGGACACACATAAACACTCTCCTGCCAGGTCTCTGGCATTTGAGTGGAAGACACCTGATTCCATGCCAAGAACTAGAAGTTGAGCTTCTTGGGAAAATGGAAGAACATCTCTTCACCTCCAGTGATTATAGAGCAGGTCTGTTCGCATCCGGGCCCTTCCCTCAGTGACTGTTGTCCCATGTCCTTGGCCTATTTAGGACAGTTTCCTTGACTCTGCACACCTGAGGTCAGCTTCCTTACCCCAAACCTCCAGCTTTCCTGGCAGGACCCAGCATGCACAAGGAAGACCAGAGAGAGGCACCAGTTGTAGTAAGAAAACTAAAATGGCGGCACACTCCCACGTTTGTGATTGGTGGAAACCACAAGTCCAGCATGCTGGTGATGCTTACACACAGATGAAGTGAGCTTAGCCTGCACCAGTTTCTTTGGGAAGGGAGGTTATGAATCTTACATATCATGCATGGACCAGGTCCCTTCCGTATTTAGGGAAGATGTTGGCCACAGTTGGTGCAGAGGAGGGCAATCAGGATTGAGATAGTGTTTAATGCCTTGACCTCTAAACAATTGCTAAGAGAACAGACGTTAGCCTAGAGGAGAGCCAATGAAGGGAATTCACTGAGTACTTGTTGGACTATGGGGGTAAAGTGTGCCTAGACTTAGAGCAGGAAATATGAAGACTCATGGTAGAAATCTGGGTGGAAAAGAGGACACTGATGAACCATTTGGTGAATGGGCAAGGGTCTCATTCCTGAAAGATAGAACAGAAGCAGGATTCTCTTCTCTATGGTGATAAAGAGATCCCCACTTTGAGACAGAAACTTCAATAGATATCATGCTTAAGATTCTTCTCAACTTTAGGATTTTGTACTTCTATGATTCCCAAAATATCTTCAGATTTAATAACTAAGCCTCTTGACTCTGTGCCTCCAAAAATCATGCTTCTTCTTCAGTGTTCCATTGAGTGGTGATACCACCTTTTATCCAGATGTCTGAGCCAGAACCCGAGGGTCATCCTGACCGGTCCCTCTCCATCCCCCCATAGCCACGCACTCATGAGCTTGCGCTTCTGTACACCAAACACTGTGTACATCATCTACATTTTTCTCTTCCCTACCTCAGGCTATCATCCCTTCTCGCATGGGTAGGCAGCCCCTTACCTGGCCTCCGGGCCACACACCCTCCCTCTGTGGCCCACACCCAAACCATCTTCCCCCGTTGGCAGTATTGCTTAGTTGTGTAAGTGGCCTCCTAGCACAGAGCCCTCAGTGACTTCCTGGGGAACCTTAGATCAGTGTCTGGATTTTGAGCTGGCCACCAGGCCTCTGTGATGTAGCCTCTTCCCAGCCAGGCAACCCCATCTCTCGCCATCCCTGCTACTCGTCCTCAGATACCCAATTTCTACAGCAGCCATGTTCAAACAGGCAGACTCGTGGCGGAACTTTGGCTTGGGCTCATGGCTGAACCTTCGCTGGATGTCCAGCCTCTCTCACTCAACTGACATACCCACCTTCCACTCCAGGGTAGGTGTCTCTCCCTCCTCTCTGATAGCCCTGCCTTGTCCCAGCACAAATTAGGCACCCGTCCCGCATGTCTCCACAACCCCCCCACAGTTCCACTTCAGTCTACTGATCTCTAAAAAACAACACGTAGAGCACGTGATGTTGCCCTTAGCATCTAGAAGATGAATGCTGGCCAAAGTCCACAGAGGTGGGCAAAGCGGCCCCATCAGTACAGTCCGTGCCTAGAGATGTTCAAGGTGGCATTCCTGTGATCCTAAAAGAAACCTGGAAAGGACTGTGTAACCTGAGTTATAGGACATGAAATCCTAATGTCCAAAACATGATTGCTGTAAGACATGATCCCTCACCACGATAACCCCGTTCCCGAAGCCTTGTCCCCAAGAACCCACAGCTTTCCCAGTGTCATGGGAGCCTGGGGTGCACAGAGCACCATATGCATGAGTCCTTGTGCAGCTCAGGAAGGTCTCCTATATCCCCAGCCGGTTTCAAACATCTTTTTTGATGGGCCCTGCTGGGCCGTTGGGCCAGGAATGCTGTTATGCATCGTGAATTATTAACTCCTTTGCCCAACAGATAAGAGTTACAAAATCGCCTGCATTTCAATCATAAATCTCAGCTTCACCTGAGCACAGCATGACTGGCTGTGGACAAGCAAGGTGCGGGCTGACGGGTGGCCGGGGTCGGCACGGAGCACGTGCCGGCAAGAGCCTGGCATGGATGGCTGCTCGGTCGTATTTCCACATGAATCTACTTCGTGGTGCATTGAACATGGAGGTAGAGGTGTGGCCTGAAGCACCAAGGAAGAGTGAACGTTTCTAACAGTGCAGAGTAAGGACATGTTTTCTGATGTTAAACCACGAAAACCATAAAAAATTACAATTATTGGCTACATCAGCCAAAGTGCCGATGGTTCTTTTCAGGCCCACGTACGGGGTTGCCATGAACCTCAGTTTCTGCTTTGAGCAGGGAAGGTAACTTAATATCCCAGATCCCAGAGGTCCCCATCCATTGCTAGTATGTACTTCTAACAACCATTTTTAGGTGTGATATGGGAAATCTTTCTATTTTGGTGATACACACACACACACACACACACACACACACACACGCACACACACACAGGCATACCTCACGCATACTTTGTTGTTGGTTTTTTGTTTGGGGGTTTTTTGTGTGTTTTTGGCTAAAGACCTTTCTGCACAAAGGCTCAACATGCATTTCTTATGTGAGAGAAACACTGTGATTGCATCATGCTTTGTGTGGGAATTCCCAGGGCACTGAAGTAACTTCCTGTGAGCTTCACGAGCTCCACGACTGAACAACAACCTGACCCCTGACCCCTGACCCAGCTGAGCCACTGACAGCCATTCCCATCAGCGAGGGCTGTACCCTACCTCCAAGCGAGTGTTTCTGAACCCCCTCCCAATACTAAGATTCAGGATTCCAGAGCTGGCGGAAGCTATAACTTACAGAGAAGCCAGTTCCTATGCCAGCATACATTTCATAATCCGAGAATTAGGATTCAGAGTTTTTGCCTAATTCTTTGACTCTCCTTTTGCCCCTACAAATGAACAGAATGTAAACGATACCCATGAACATCCGCATTAAGGAAAGCAAGTTCTTATGAGTTAATATTTCAAGCTACTGGAACTTACGGTTTTCTAACACACTGCCAAATTGCAACACAACGTGTACTTTATTGGACACGACACGGGATTCCAACTAGTGCCGTTAAACTGGGAACAGATTTACTGCACAAAGCACTTTGCACAGCGTGAACTTGGAAGAGGCTGGCCACACATGGATGTGGGAGGGTGTCTGGAGTGTGCTCGCTTATTCGACAGGACCGTAAGTCAGTCCTGCTTCCGGAAGGGCAGACATACCAGGCACAGAAAAAATTTAATGTCATCAAGCTAAGCCATCCCTTTTATCTAGAAAACCTGAAAGCCCAAGAGCGCGACAAACAAGACAGTTTGAATAAAGTTGCAAGAATTCGCGATTTTAACGTCCTACGGTTTCAGGGGTTTTCTTTCTGTTTTTCTTTTTTTAAATTGAGGTATAATTGACTTATAACATATTAGTTTCAGGTGTGCAATAGAATGAGTCAGTATTTGTGTATCTTGTGATGTGATCACCACAATAAGCCTCACTAACATCCAGCACCACACACAGTCACAAAAAGTTCCTTCTTCCGATGAGGACTTTCAGGATCCTCAGCGACTTTCAAATACACACGACAGTATTCACTGCAGTCATCATGCTGCTCACTATGTCTCCACACTTACTTATTTTAGAGCGGGAAGTTTGTGTCTTGTCCCCTTGCACTCATCCCCCACTATGTCCTCACTGACCGGTACCGTGCTCAGTGTGTGGTAACTGGGTTCCCTCCTTTCCCCCTTGTGTTTGTGTGACTAGGAATCCCCAAGGCTGAGACCCTTCTAGGGGAAGAGTTACTTTTCATTTTCCATATAGAGAAGGGAACGTGGGGTGAATCCCGCTGACCACATGTGGTTTCAACCTCCTGGTCCTCAATGATTCATCATCTTTCTAGAATATTCTAATCTCTTTTGTGCCGTGAAAGAATTTTTAGAAGTATTTTTACTCATCAGTACTTATACTCATCGACAATTACGGCACCACGAACAGGATTCTGTAAAAACTAAGTGGCTTGGGGACACATGCAAGGAAAACCATGATAGTACATCTTCTAAGAAGACACCATCTGAAAGGAGCAACTGTTAGGAAGAGAGAAGGGGCTAGAAGGAGGTGCTCCCCCTCAGTGGCTCATTTGTTCTTAACCCACTATCCAAATATTTTGAAATCAGGAATGTCAAAATGACCTGGGACGGCTTTACCTGTCGGTGAGGCCGCAGGTGTCTATCTGGAGGTCACGGAAAGTCCTCAGCGACCCCTGCTGTACCGTGATGGGGTCCACCGCCTGGTCGCCAATGGAGATGAGCCTCAGGCAGCCCTGAAACCCGGCCAGGGGACCTCCGCATCCAGGGCCAGAGCTGCTGTTGGGACAGCCTGAATGAACACGGAGACACACAAAGGAGAAAGTCAACAGTCGTCACCAAAGCAGCCATCAGTATTCTGTACATGCAAGTTTGCCGCCTCCTGCTCGCAGACGCCTGAAGATTACGCTTCCTCATGGACAGGGCAGTGGACGGATGAGAACAGACACTACTGGTTTTGGTAAAGCACAGAAATAACAACTCGAGCCAGGCTGGTGGACAGATGAGCCGAAGGTAGACTCTACCAGTAGAGTCAAGGCCCATTTCCTCTAAGCTGAGTTTGATTTCTCTTTTGAAACCACCCAAAGAAATCGGTCCTTTCAACATGATATTAAACTCTATAAAGACAAGACCATGGGATAAGAGAATCAGAAAGAAAAAAATCACAGGCCTACTAGGACCTACGAAATTTAAAATGCTTGAGAAATAACTCTGTATGTGAGATTCCTACTCTGGGCGTGCGTGTGTGCGTGTGCAAGCGCAACACAGTTCAAACAAGGTTTGACCGTACACGGTCAGAGACATCTAACGACAATGTACATGACTTACGTTTCCAACTGCTTCTGAATGAGGCATTTTAGTCAAATACCTCCCCCCCCACACACACACACACAGAGTTAACAAGTATCTCAACGATACGGCCCTGAGAATAACGGAGAAAAGTTAGCATCCTGGAGCACCCCATGCGAGAAGAAACAGGCGTTGACTCTTTTCAATAATAGTAAGTTTTTACAAGTTCTGCTGCATTCACTAATTCGCTTGCTGTAAATTATTGTTAAATTAATGAAGGAAAGAGGCCATCAGACTACGATGACTCACCAAAAGCTTTAGTGGCCCAGGACAGCAAACCAGAGTCTGAGGCTGTAAATGAGTTTGATTTCTGTGTGGCTTCGTGTGGCTTCGTGTGGCTCTGAAACCAGAACCTACAGACAGCGGCCCCAGACAGCCACCCCCGATTTCAGCCGGAGCCGATCAGTAATTCCTCTCCCTGCTGCCGCCCCTCCTCTCCGGGAGCCCTTCCCCTGCTCCTGCCTACGGAGCACTCCTGACCACTTCTACTTTGGTGTTGTGTGATTCAGATCAGTTTTTGCTCCAAAACACCCTTAAAAATTTGAATCAGGTTATCTTCTACCGTTACAAACCTCAATGCCTAGGCGTTGTTTTATTGTATCCCCCTGGTTTCCCACGAAGACAAGGCTCTTATACCCATGATGAGCAAGGACACAGCTTTGAAATCAAAGTCAAAGCCGATCAGGGTTCAGAGCTGCCTCCTTCCCCTCGGGTCAGCAGGCTGGCACGTGTTCTCCCACCCTCTGCAGAGCTGCCCTCAAAGCAATCACAGGTCTTCGATGTGAGCACTTCCAGACTCCCAGGGGACAGGAAAAGAGAAACACACTCACTGCAAATGCTTTGGTGAAAGGCCATCATGAGGAGAAATCTATAGACACAGCTTCATCTCCATTTCACACACACCCCTCATTTTGGGGACTGAGGTTCTCCCCAGGAACTGCCCTGCTGCAGGGAGCTGAGTCTCATGGGTGGTACCCTCCCCAGGGACGGCCAGTGCCCACGGATGCAATGGATGAGTCAGTGACCCGAAGCCTCAACTGGGACGTCCCTGAGGGGCAAATGCTTCTTCAGAGCTGCCTTGAGGCCTCTATGCAATGGCATCACGCCTCGCCTTGTCTCTGCTCATCCCAGCTGCTCTCTGCCCCCAGCAGGGTCGTTCCTGAGAACTAACCTCACTAAACCACCGTACACACGAGTCTCCCAAGCAGAGAGCCAGCTTCCTGGGGAACCTACCTGTAGCCACGTGGGATAAAATCTCAAAGCATTCACTTAATTGAGTATTTTACTTTCAGATGCAAACACAATAGAAGCACATTTTTAAATAATTTAATATTCTTTTAATTCCAAGAAATTGTGAAATAAATTTTATGATTCCTGAGAAACTCACCTGTTTTATTCATTCTGTGCCTTATACAATTATGTCTCATTGACATCATTTCCAGGAGAATGTTTTCTTTTAATTTGTTAAATACAGAGTCATAACTATTCATCTTTCTAAAAAAAAATCATTAAAAATCATTTTCCAAGCATTTAAATATTAAGGAAGTTTTTGGTAATATTTACAGGTGGTATTTGAGGTTACTTTAGAAGTCTCTTATATTTTAAATGAAATGGAATCAGTAATTTATTTTTTTTAGAAAGATTTGTTTATGTGAGAAAAAGAGAGAGAGAGAGAGAGACAGTGACAGCATGAGGGGAGGAGGGACAGAGGCTGGGAGACTCAAGCCAGGAGCCCAACGTGGGGCCGGATCGCACGACCTTGAGATCATGCCCTGAGCTGACATCAGGCGTCAGACATTGAACTACGCCGCCCAGGTGCCCCTGGAGTCAGTAATTTCATAAAGATTTTACTCATTATACCTACATGTTTTTTGTTCTCCTCTGTCTGAACTTTTGTCATGAGGGTCACTGGTGCACCTTCAAAGGACAGGGACTGAAGACAGAGCCTCCTCTCGTTCCCGCCCAATGGCCACAAGCTTGTGCCTAAGAATTTCCACAAGACGCGCATGGTCATCTTTCCTCTTCTTTCAGTGACTGAGGCTTTGCATTCCTGACAAATATACCCCAAAACCAGCCAAGGCCTTCGTCCGGTGAAACCCACTGTTGGGCACAATGAAGCCCCATAAATTACCCTCATGGAGACGTTGACACTTCAAATGTGGTGTTACATCACAAAGAACAGACAAACTGTCCAGTTTCCCTTTCCTTTTTCCTTGTTTTATGTGAAAATATGCACACTTATGTTTGTAAAAGAATTTCTGGAAGGTTGGATATATTTGGAAGACACCTGGTGTATCTTTGTGTCTTTATAGGCGACTTCCACTGACAGTGCTTAGGGACTGAGAACATTAGGATACAGGATCAGAAACGTTCAGCCAATAAACATTCCCCTTTCTCCAGATCACAAACTTCAGACGCATCTAAAATACAATGCAGTATCTGGGGCGCCTGGTGTCTCAGTCAGCTGGGCGTCCAACTCTTGATTTCCACTCAGGTCATGATATGAGTCGTGGGATCGAGCCGCATGTTGGGCTCTGCACTGGGCAAGATTCTCTCTTAGCCCCTGCCCCTCCCCATCCATCCCCATTCACACACACACACTCTCTCTCTCTCTAAAAAAAAAAGAGAGAGAGAGAGAAAAAGAAAAAATACAGTGCAGTAACTCAGTGTTCCTATAAAGACTCAACTGAATCCAGCAGTCACAAAGAAAATTTTCTCAAAGCGGAATATTAAGAAGGAAAGGTCAAACCACAAAGTCCTTCCTTGCTCCAGTTATGAGAGAGAGGTCAAGAAGCAAGGGGTGCCACGGCCCAAGACAAGCCCAGACCACCAGCTGTCTGTTCATCCACACAGATTGCCCGAAGTCCCAATGGTAAGATGGCAGAGGGTCCTTCCTCCATGACCTGATTCGGGATGGACAGTGAAAGTGGACGGGGATAGTTATTGCTAAGTCAGTGGAACATACCCATCAACATGGAAGGAGTCAGAAATTTAAGTACCTCTGAGGATGACAGATAAATTGTCGCTGGATGTCAAGACCCCAGAATGGGTCATGAGGTGAGACCTCGTTACAGCCGTCATTGTTCCCTGGTCTGCTAAGGCCTCACACACACAAGGACCCTCGTGAAATTCGGAGCATAATTTGATGTTTCCCAGCTCTGCAGGGCATGTGTGCTGGTGGACAGCACCACGATCCCACAGAAGGAATCCAGAGGACAGCAGCTTCCCACTACCCTCCCCGGCAGGCACTGAACTCTGTGTATGGTAGGGTAGAGCAAAACTGTTGTCAGAAGAACAATTTACAAACTCACACAGGAGAAATAGAAAAGGGAAAAGGGAAACCTGCATCACATGTAAAAAGTCTACAAATCTGCGAGAGGAACTTTGTCATGAAAAGAAAGCCACAGAGCTCTGCTTTATGCCTGTTGTCCTGCCATAATTATCAAGATCATCCCCTCCATTCACTAAAGCATCCTGGTTTGGACAATAAATTATATAGCCACCCTAACTGTAATAGGAAGACGCCCTAATCTGCCCTTATGGGAAAGCATGGCAAAAAAGAGTCACTGACTGGGGCACCTGGGTGGCTCAGTGGGTTGAGGCCTCTGCCTTCGGCTCAGGTCATGGTCTCAGGGTCCTGGGATCGAGCCCCACGTCGGGCTTTGCTCAGCGGGGAGCCTGCTTCCCCCTCTCTCTCTCTCTGCTTGCCTCTCTGCTTGTGATCTCTCTCTCTCTCTGTGTCAAATAAATAAATAAAATCTTTAAAAAAAAAAAAAGAGTCACTGACCACGTGGTGAGCAGGGACTTGCCACTGAACCTTCATCAGGAGAGCGGGCTAAGGAGGGTCTCGGAACATGGGGCACTGGCTGCCATGAATACCGCATCTGCTATGGAGCATGGACTGGATAAAGTGGATTTCCCTGGTAACACAATGCATATTCTGGTCCTGATGGACGTCCATTAAGAAGATAATTAAAGAGACACTGGCATACACCATTCTTGGGATTGGATAAAACATCTCTGGCATTGACGTCTTTGGGTCTCAAAGTTCCCACTCAATTTGAAACTGACCTGCACCCCTTTCCCCAGAACAGAGCTGGGGAGTCCAACAGACCATACAGATGAGGGGCTCTGAAAAAGGGATTCTTCCCCTGTGCATACAGCTTTGAGCACAGCACATCGACTGAGAATTGGGCTGCATGTTCACTGGTCCTAGACCTGCCTCTCCTGCTTTTCCTTCACAACAAATAATGCTCATCTCCTTATTTAACATCAGTAAACTGGGGTGTTTTGGTTTTGAGTGTTTGCTCCAGCTTGGTGATGGCATTAGCTGGGTTGTTTGGAAAGTGTATATTCCTTCTCCAGGAAAAAAGATGCTGTTACGTTGGTATAAAAAGGAGAGTTGAAAACGTTGGTTTGAATCAGTGCCTGGAATTGCTCTGTAGGAATCAAGTGGGTGTTGACAGCGGAGTACACACAGGTCATTCTGAATTTACACATTAGTTACAGATAATGTGCTGTGATTGCAAGATCTTACACTATTTTTGCCACTCAGTGCCAAATTTTAATCACAACCAAAAAATAGCAAACTGGTAATGAAGAAAAGTCATTATACTCTCTCATGGGATGTTTGAACTTTGTAATTCTGCTCATCTTAGAGACATGATTTGTTATTGGAAACTATACTAATGAGACAGTTTTTCTGCACATCAACACAATTTTATGAAAACACGTAAGAAAAGCCTATTGTGCTTTTTTTCAACACATTGCCTCCAAGTCTCTAGGGTCCTTTCATAGACCAAAGGCTGGAAACAACCAAAGGCTGTTTCACTGAATTGACTATGCATATTAGGAAACTTGATAGCTGCACATAAGGAAAACGTTAAAATCACTGGCAGCCATAGGGTATTTATCGCATCTTTTATAATAGCAAAAAGTGGGCACCATCCAGCTGTTGCTCCACAGTAAAACGGGACGGCGGAGTTAATAAGTGAAACATGGTGTGGTACACATCAAAACCACAGGGCAGTAAAAATTAATTAACTTTATCTATAAATACTCACAGGGCTGGATCTCCAAGACTAATCTAGAACAACAGTGACAGCAATAACAATAAAAAGAACCCAGAAGAAGGCACACGGTAGTGCCCTATGCGTAAACTGAAAAGCAAGGGGACACAGAACACAGAACACTACTGTGTGAAATCACCTACATGGATATAGCTTCTAAAGAAAAGCAATACATCAGAAATTACAAACTTTCAGTTGTAAAATAAATAAGTCATAGCAAAGCAATGTACAGCATGGTGATTACAGCTAATAATACCTTATTGTCTATTTAAAAGTTGCTAAGAAAGTAGACCTTAAAATTTTCATGACGAGAAAAATTATAACTATGTATGGTTGTGGATATTAACTAGTTATTGCGGGATTATTTCCTAATGTATACAAACACTGAGTCATATGCTCACATCTGAAACTGACACGGTGCTACACGTTGATTAAAACATAAAAAGGTGATACAAAGACTAGTAAAAAGGGGGGGCAGGGTAATCCTTAACTGGGGGAGTGAGAATTTAGAGGAGAGGGAGACATTAAAAGCATTGTAGTGTTTAATTGTGTACATTAGGGGGTTAGCCCACAAACGCTCTTTCAAGAAACATGAGTAGTATTTTAAAACGCATACATGAATTACTTAGTGACTCCATATCACATCAACGTGTAAGTATTTATGGAAAGTACCTGTTCTCATGTAGCTGTGCGTTGCACATTTGGAACATGCCCGATGCTCAAATATGAGAGAAGACTCTGTGTTTTTAGAAAGTTTTTTTTTTAACTTTTTAATACAAAATAACAAGCATTCCATTTTGCACCATTAAACAATACAGCAAGGATTTTTCTTCCTATCCCTTTTAGTGCTTCAAAATCTTTCACATTTTAAGTTACAGCTCCTGGATAAATTCTTTATTTAGTTTTGAAGGAATCGGTTCCTCTGCAGAGCTCTAAAATCCATCATAGGCATAAAGGTTTAAAAACCTGTCTGGGTCAGAGGTGCATCATATTTGGCAGGGGGGGGAAGCGACCAATCCAATGTTCTAATGCTCCTGGTGCCACTCCACACTGACCGTGGAGGCTTGCTTTAGGGGGCTTGAAAGATTAAACGCCCTGTGTGGGCTTACTGTCAACTCCTCGGGAGGATTTTATACTTTCTTGTTGGGCTATCAAGTTATCTCCACCATGACCTCAAACTTATTTTGGAAAGAAAAAACCATAAAGTGCGAAACAGGAATAATATCAAGGATGGCTTCCAGCCACGATTAGAAGAAGTCTCACAACTGACAGGCCTAAGCTTCTGGTGGCTCAGACTCTTCACACAGATGCCTCAGAACGGACATTTGTTACCCTCAGGAGCTCCCCCTCCCTGGCTGCACGGATCCTGGACAGACTCAGTCAAAGTTCTACCAAACAGGCAAACCCGCCGTCTCCCACAGTTGGGGTGATGGTCTGGTGTTGTCTCAGTAACGTTCACCACAAGGTAGTGAGTGGGTGTCCTCTCTTGCTCTGGTGTAGGTAACGGTGTCCTTGTGCGTACACAGTGGGCGACAGAACGCTTCCTGAACATTTAGGGCAACAGAGCAGCTGGGGATCTTGGGGAAATACAGATTCTGGCTCAGGAAGTCAGGGGAGTTACGTCTGCACCTGCGACAGGCTTGAAAATGGTGCTGCCATGGGTGGCTCCCAGGCCACACCAGAGGACCTGGGCCACCCAGGGAGGAGAGCGACTGACAAAAAGAAGACCGCCCACATGCAACAAGGAAACTGTCGCATAAAAACACCTGAAGGAAAGGTTCTAAGAGTTATTTGGCCTCCCGAAAATACTCTACAGTGAAGCACAAAAGGTTAGAGACAGAGAGCGAGGACCCTCAGAGTGGCCTGCAGAGAGTCACCTGGAGAGCCCACTCCCCGGGCGTCAGAGCCAGAGAAAGCAGATCTCTAGGGACAGAGACAGGCCCTAACATTCTGGAAGCTTTCCAGGTGACTGCAGTGGAAACAAGTGCTAAATTCAAAATCAATCTTAGCAAATGCACATCAAAACAAGGCCCCCCATAGGCTTGCATTTTAGGCCATAATTTACTGCCTTATTCGGGGGCGCCTGCGTGGCACAGTAGGTTAAGCACCCTATTCTTGGTTTTGGCTCAGGTCATGATCTCAGGGTCATGAGATCGAGCCCATGTCGGGCTCTGCACTCAATGGGGAATCTGCTTGGGATCCTTTCTCCCTCCCCCTCTGTCACTCCCACTCGTGCTCTCTCTGTCAAATAAGTAAGTAAGTCCTTAAGAAAAATTTACTGTCTTTGCTCAACATTCTCATTGACTAAACTGAAAGAGAAACCTTGCTCTCCTTCATTTAAAATTGCTGGTTGTTTCAGAAGGCAGGAGCTGGAAAGACAAGGATGGTTTGATTGCCAGCACCGCCAGTTCCTTTCACTTACCGCCCAAATAATAGGTGTCCCCTGAATCAATCTGTCCACGCAGGGAGTGAGCCACAGAGGCTGCCTCACCATCCACCATCACATTCAGGTGATTTCCTTTCAACGAAAGGGACACTGAATGCCACTGCCCATCACTTAATCCAGCACCTGGAAGTAAACAAAATTGGGTAAGAAATTCCTAAAAACCTATAGATGCAGCTACACAGAGCCATGCTTGAAAACAATACAATCATGATCTTAGACACCCTACCAAACTTCACCGTGAACTCACCTGAAACCCACCAGGTTATTTAGCTGGCTGGGCAATGGAGACCCACCACAGAGGACAGCTGGGCCTCTCAGAGAGAAAGGGAGAGGCTTGGGACAGATGTGAGCTTGGGGGTTTCTTAACAGGCAATGAGATCACGTGGTATCCTGGTCATGTTTCTCTAGGAGGAAGGGGTTACCTGTGGAGTGAGGCTCATTGAGTAAATGTGTGGTTCCAGAGGGTCCTTGCATCTGACCTCCCACAGTCATAGATTGGCCAGTCGTGTTCTAACACAAATTATATTCTATCAAAAATTACTGTGATCAGTTAAGAGTATTAAGACATATGTGCACATGGCAATGACTGTGTTTCACTTTCTCATCACTCAGTTAAATCAGAAAAGTACAGGGAGAAAAAAAGAGAAAATAAAGAAAGCTGAATTGAAGGGGGAAGGAAGATTCAAGAGTGGAAAGTCCAAACATTCTGCCTTGGACAGTGCAATCTTAGTTTCTCCCAGTGCTAGGGCTTTAATGGACTAATACCAACAGGATCCTGAACAACCTTAACATGATCAAATATCCTAGTCCCCTGGCACAGGGCGCACGTCCCCCTCTTCTAGTTTGTTAATATTTTAGGATGTTGAGAAGCATAAGATTTTCCAAAATTGTTGTTATAAAAATAAAATCTTGTCCCTACTTTCATGTATTATTACTATATATAATTTTGGTAGACTATTTAGAAAAATATATCATATATATCAATATAACTCTTTAGAAAAAATGTATCAGCAACTTAAGTATTACTGAAACATGTAAATCCATAGAACAAAATGTAAAGTTTAGAAAGCATCGCATTAAAGTGTGTGTGTGTGCATACTCAATCACTGTCTAAAATTGGACAAAACCCAGTAGGAAATATTTTTAAATGTTATCATTAACTTTGGATGAGGGAATTGTTTGCCTTCATGCCCATATTCCACTGGCCAAAGTGAGTCATTCGTTCAAAAGCAAGGGACTCCTCCCTTCCACGGAGAGGTCACAGCCACTGTCATGGCCCCAGAGACACCTGCTGCTCTGAAGGAGCACAGTGAATAATTGGAATCTTTAGAAATTGTCTTGCCCAACAGGGAAACAGGTCGTAAACAAACACTTCAGCTCATTGAAAAACAAGAAAGTGAGACTCTTTTGACTTCTTTGATGTCGTGCCCAAGCTTGCGCATGACCCTGCCTGACCCTAATTTGATCGTCTTGGGGAATTGTCCTGATAGATTAGCCTATACCTCTTGCAAATGAGAAAGGTGCCGACTGCTTAGAGCCCTCTAAGTTTGGAAGTCAACCTGCAAGGGTCAGAAGTTATTTTCTAGCTCATGGGGTATCACCCCAAAGAAAATATGGCCATGTTTCCAGTGGAAAGTTAACCAGGCATATTTAATTTGGTATCAGAGTTTGGCCCAAGGAACCCAATCAACCCCATAAATCCATGTCCCTCCAGTGCTCTTTAATATGTCAATGATACTGCAATTAAAAATGAAAATACAGCATTTTTGGTCTTGGCTTCATTTCTCATCAGTGATGTTGACATGGATTCAAGACCCATGTGCACAGGAAATATGTTTCTGGCCTGACCCAGAAGGTCATAGACCCTACTGTAAAAATCACGATGCCTCCGCTCCTCTCAGACTGTGAAACAGGAGCGATGGTACTTCCCAGCACTCCCTTTCAGGGACTTTAGCTCTTTGCCATGTACACCCATCTCTCACTTTCTGTGTCACATTTGTGAATCCAAAACTGTTGCAAAGACCCCACACGGGTTAGGTTCATGAGCAATGATGAGAAAGCCGACAACAGAATATGGAGGATTGCGGTTAGATACTCAAGACCTACATTATGACACTGGTCCTGAAGGAAATCCTCCAGCCCTCGAGCTGAAGGAATCCACAAACAAGAACCTGGGAGTGTCCCTTCCACTCTTGTCATTTGGTATTTATTTTGAAGTTTACCTAATATTATCTGTCGGGATGGAACCACATCCACTTAAAATCTGATGTTAATGGGGCGCCTGGGTGCCTCAGTGGGTTAAGCCTCTGCCTTCGGTCCAGGTCATGATCTCAGGGTCCTGGGATCGAGCCCCACATTGGGCTCTCTGCTCAGCAGGGAGTTTGCTTCCCCCTCTTTCTCTCTGCCTCCCTCTCTGCCTACTTGTGATCTCTGTCTGTCAAATAAATAAATAAAATCTTTAAAAAAAATAAAATAAAATCTGATGTTAAAATTCCCTCCTGTCCGCCCCCCTCCACCCACCTGTCTAGGACTTAGAGTTATTTCCTGGGAGAACTTGCAGAAAACACTCCAGAATATCTCCTTGAATGGGTAATAGATGCCATTTACCTCTATAATAAAAGACTGTTTTTAATAAAATTCAACATTCTCATTTAAAAGTGAAATGCCTGCTCTTATGATCATTCTGTTTCTCCCCATTATAATTCTCACTCTTTGTGTTTCTTTTGTGTGTCCTCCACCCTCCCCACTTCTGACGGAACGAACTGCCTGTCTCCCAGGCAGCACTACAGTCAAAGGATGGATGGAGAAGGGAGGGGCGGGGGTGTTTTGGTTTGTGCTACTGGGAACAAGATGCTCATTCTCCCACTCACCCCCCAGCTCCACAAAGGCTTCAGTCTGGGGGGCCAGTGATGGTCTCAGGACTAGTTTTGGAATAATGAGAGCTAAAGGTTTTGGAGTGACTGCTGACTAGCAGGCACTGGGCTCGTGGTCTGTAGGCTCAACATCATTGCTTCTACCATCAGTCACACTAGTGTCACTCCAACGACGAGGACCCGAGGCTTGGGGAGAATACAGGTGGCACTTTCGAGCCCATCAGCCCTAGCAGCACAGAGGTGGTTCTGGAAGTGGGCCTGGGAGGCGAGTCCTCTCACACAGCCCTCCCACCAGCTTGTCTCAAATCCATCCTGATTGCAGAGAACACTGCCCTGGGCAGTTGAGGCTCTTCCGGAAAGGGTGGACTGTGTCTTTTCCTACAGAAAGGGAATGCACGCTCCCCTCCCCCCCACTGACCTTCTGTTTCCACCACGCCGCTCCGCTGGCCCAGCTCCACAAGCACACAGACACTAGATTGTACACTCTGGACCTTTCTAGATCCCTTCACAAACACACTGAGGTAACTATTCAGAAATAGGACCCAAAAGCTGGAAGCAGGATGAACGGTGACCAGGTGTCCTTTCCTGGCATCTGGCGTGATTACGTCTCACTCAGCCTTTAAACTTTGGTTCTTGGTTTGGTAGGTGCTTTCGCACTTCATCCAAGGTTTGGAATGAAAACCAGTCACCATCTGTCTCCTCTTCCTCACTTTCTGTGCCTCACAGACACCGCGCCTTTCTCCAGCTGAAGCCTCGTGGCCCGCTGCCCAAAGGGTATCTCTCGGGGACATTTTTCCAACAGAATCTGCTCATTCTGTGCCTCTGTGTCACGATCCTTCAGACTTTTTCGTCACTGTGACATTTGTGATGCTGATCTGTGATCCGTGATCACAACTCGCTGAAGGCTCACGCGGCACCTTTTCTTAGCAATAAAGTATTTTTTTAATTAAGGCATGTATATTGTTTTTCCAGACATAAAGTTCCTGCACATTTAACAGACCATGGTATACTGCAGACATAACTTTTATATGCATGGGAAAGCCAAAAAAAATTCATTTGGTTCACTTAATTGCAAATATTTGTTGTATTTGGGTGGTCTGGAACCAGACCTGAGTATCTCGGAGGCAGGCCTGTATTTCAAAGGTTAAAAAAAAAAAAAAAAAAAAAAAAACACCCCTCAAATGCTCCTAAAAAAAGCAGCAAGAAAAATGCACCTCTGGTTTGCTTCCAAAAACTAATACGTTGTCCAGTGAAAGCTTAAAAAATCAATTCAATAAAATGTTTCTATAATATTTCAGTGCCAGCCTTCAAAAAAAGTTAAATAACTAATCCCAGTTGTTGGAAGGGAGAATGGTGTGTACTCACGTGAAGCAACAGCAAAACACCATCTCTCCATTAATAAGGCACGCAGCTTGTAAATCTACACAAACCAAGATTGAAGAAATTTCCAAAATCTGACTTGACACTCCCTGGTTATGCTCATCTGCTGAGGTCCAACAAGGGAACTCCCTACGCCGGTGGTCAGATTTTGTCTTTTATTTATAAAGAGAAACAAAGAGCTCCGTTTCATTCCCGGCTTTCAATCCGACCTGGTAAACTGGGTCAGGCGAGGCGCTCCTTCCGTAGTCAACACTCATGGAAGGACACCCACGTGGCTTTACATTTTCACCAGCACTCTAATGCAAAACAGTCCCCAGACTCTGAGGATAACACGACCCTGGAAGGGAGTTTAGAAACGTGGGTCCTTCTTGGAAGCTGAGCAGAACATTCGCCCACTGTTATAAGAAGCCTTATCCAAAACAGGGATTCCCGATGGAACAGAAAATCTGGGAAAAATAGTAACTTCAAATATTATGATTGGTGTGCATATAGGCTCAAAAGAAGGGATAAGGAACCTCTTTTGTCAGGACTCCGACTTAGGCTACTGTTCTCCAGTGTTTCAAGCGTACTGCCAACTCCCCACTATCAGTTGATAACTAGGTTATTTTTTAAACTTTTTAAAAAATATTTTATTTATTTATTTGACAAAGAGACATCACAAGTAGGCAGAGAGGCAACCAGAGAGAGGGGAAGGGAAGCAGGCTCCCCACTGAGCAGAGAGCCCGAGGCAGGGCTCAATCCCAGGACCCTGAGATCATGTCCTGAGCCGAAGGCAGAGGCTTTAACCCACGGAGCCACCCAGGCGCCGTATTTTTTAAACTTTTTGAGAGGCATGTGTGATCTGCAGCTAACTTCAGGTCAAACTGACTCACACAACAACAGCCTGGATGTACCTAGTTCAAAGGTAAAAGAACTCTAGCTCCCTCTAGAAGGATTACGAGTATCTTACTGATTCAGTCACTCGTTTAATGCAGAGGTGACAGGAGGACCGTGTGGTCACAGCAAACACCTATTACCTGCTGTGACGTCCCTCGCTGGATGTCCGGGCTGGGAAAGACTCAGCCTGAGTTTTCCATCATTAAGAAGGAGGACGAGAGCCTCTGGCCCGTGTTGGAATTGAGTGGTCAGCAGCAGCCCTGCCCTGTTCCACGTTCGGAATTGGAAAGCGACCGACACCTTGTCCTCTCCGACAGTGCCCGGCAGAGCCAAGTAACTCCTGGAGCTCAGAAAAGTCACGGGCACAATTTGTGGGTGTGAGCATGAGAAGGACACATTTCCCTGTGAATACAGTGGAAAAGGATTTAGGAAGGGGCAGAAGGGATGCTTTCATGAACAATGAGCTTTCCAAGAGGTGCAGTTTCCTATCAACCTACCAGCAAGCGAGGACCTAAGAACTAGGCTTCCCCATCCAGCTGCAATCCAGACTGACCTGACAGGTCCCTCAAACCGTGACACTGCCCTGGCTGGGCAAACCTCCTTCTGAGGCTTTTAGGGCAGTTCTGTCTCCTCCATTTCTGGGCATTGGCAAAGGAATCTCGAGGCACATCTTTCCCAGGCTTTGTGCTGGGCGCAGGACACAACAGAGGAGACAGATTTCTTATACCTCAAGGCACTGGCTGTTTACATGCGGCATGAAGCCCAGCACCACGGACAGCGGCTCCGGGAACCTTCCAGCACTCCCCTTGGTTGTGTGAACGCTTACACACCCATCACCCGGGGACACGAACATCTGGCTCAGGCAGGCCCTGGGCTTCAGCCATCTGAGGCAGGGGTGTGGCCGGCCTGAGCAGGCTGCCCACCTCTCAGAGGCTCCCATAGGCCATGTCAACCAGCATGCTCTCCCCAGCCTGACCTCTGACCCGCCAGCTGCCTGTTGCCTTTACTTCATTCTATTTTAGTAAAAACCAACCTTTGAGCTTTACATTATATCTACTGCTCCAGGAGCAAACTTACCTTTAATCATAGTGTTTGGGAGGAAGGAACTTAAGTTCTTAAAAGAACTCTAATTAAGTGGGGCACCTGGGGGGCTCAGTGGGTTAAGCCTCGGCCTTCACCTCAAGTCATGATCTCGGGGTCCTGGGATCGAGGACTCGGCAGGGAGTCTGCTTCTCCCTCTCCCTCTGTCTCTCCCGCTGCATGTGCTCTCTCTCTCAAGTAAATAAATTCTTTAAAAAAAATTTAGATAAATTTTCATAAATTCCAGAGGAATATGTGCCCAAACATTGTCCTTCCTCTCCAAAATACATACCATAAAAGCACTGTAATCAAGTCAATACGGCATTGGTATGGGGTAAACACAGCAGCAGAGCCCAGTGACTGACCCACAGAAAGATCTGAGACCACAGGTACAGCCAGCATGTGATGAGAGGGAAGACTCAAGCCTGTGCTCGGAGGTTGGGTCTGGTCAGTAAACAGCTCAGGCACGAATGGGTACCCTCGAGACCCAAGATAACTATGATCTGCACAAAGAGTAAAGACCAGACAGTCGAAGACTTAATTTTTTTTTTCAATATTAAAGTAAATAAATAAATGAAACCGCCTTAAAACTTTTTACAGGAAAATCCTTGAGACTGTACCTAGAATCTAGGGTTTCAGAAGTATTTCAAAGCAAGACCAAATACTACAAAGCTATTTAAAAACTACATTGAGACATTGGCTACATACCAGTAAAGGCATTTATATGCTCAACATGGCCCATAACATTTAATATAAAAGATATGATATATGATATATAATTATATTATAACATGACTTATATTTCATAGAAAGTTGGTTAATCTGAGAAAACATTTGGATCATGAATGACATAGAGTGATCTATCAAATCTAAAACTCTCTTATAAATTGGGGCACCTGGGTGGCTCAGTCGGCTGAGTGACCGACACTCGATTTTGGCTCAGGTCATGGTCTCAGGGTCCTGGGATCGAGTCCCATGTGGGGCTCTGAGCTCAGTAGGGGGGTCTGCTTGAGAGGTCCTCTTTCTCTCCCTCATGCTCTCTCTCTAAATAAACATTTAAAATAAAAAAAAAAAAGCATTCCCACAGGTTTCGCTGAGTTGGAAAATGGAGATGGAGAAAAGCTTACATAAAACAATCCCATTTCTGTAAATGATGCTCGATATGGAGGCGTCAATGTTCACAAAGCTGGGTGCACTGAGTGTAGAGGATTCAGGTCCAAGGAACCAAACGTGGAAGGACAGACGCTAGCTCAGTAACACGCTGGCCCGGGGGGACGGCCTGCAGCCGCGTGGAGGGACAGAAGCCTGACTACAGTCCAACCCGTCTGAGGGGTCCACCTGCCTCGAGATAACATGCTTCCTATTCGCTGACCTAAGTCCCCAGATCCACAGCAGACAGACCCCTGGCCTTGGGGTGAGAAGGTCCCAAATGTGCCCAGTCGCCTGTTTGAAGCCACATCTGCCTTCTGAAGAGTCAAGCAAGTTTTCTGGCAAATCTTCTTCTTTTTTAGGTCACAAGACTGATTTTACTAACCTCCATTTGTGTATCTGTGGGCCTTGGCCTCCCTTTGCAGAACAATGGGTGTTCCTGCACATCAGCAAACAGGCACCAGACCCCTGGGGCACAGCCCCTGAGCACAGAGATAGGGTCTGTGGCCGGCACCACAGAGTCTGCCCGGGATGGAGAGATGCAGCAGACCACCCCCTCCCTTCACTGACCCACTCCTAACCCCTCTGCAAATCTCTGGGCCGGGCAGAAACCCGGCAGCTGGCTTTTGCACAAGAGTCCACCTTCTCCCCAAATTAAATTAAGCTCAAATTCCTTTCCAATCTAAATTCACCTCTCGAGTACTGGCCTTTCAAGCGAGCGACAGGCAGCTGAGCTAGGAGTTCGTAACGGGAGAAAGGAGCAAGAGGAAATCAATCCCAACAGAGACCCTGCCCCGAAAAGTCTTTATTCAGAGGCACCATGACACATTTGTGAAAGCGTGCGTCTGTTTCCACACACCTGTAAAAGTTAAGAAGCCGGTTATGGGGATGGAGGAGGGCACTTGTGAGGAGCCCAGGTGACGCAGGGAAGTGCTGAATCCCTGAACTGCACACTGGAAGCTCATACTACACTGTATGTGAGTGACTGGCACTAAAATTTTAAAAAGTTAAATTAAAAAATCAAGTTTATTATTTAGTGAATTAAGTCAAATACGAACTAAAAGGCATACGTGATTGGCACTTTCCCTGCCTTCTGGAGAGGCACATTCTAGACTGGGCCCATCGGACAAGCTGCAGTTCCCTGCTCCGTTGACCCCGTGTGTAGCTCTCTTACCGTGACGAGGATCTGCGGTGTGTGTTTCTTGGACAAATCAATGATATCCACTCCATTATAGTAGAGATTTTCGAAGCAGCCGTGAAAGTCTTTATGTGGGAATGCCACTGATTTTCCATGTCCGGGAATCCCCCCAAAGCTGATCTTAGAAAGAAAAAAATGACATAAATAATATTGTTTAATGAGTTTCTGATTGTCTGCCTAAAGCACGCATGCTCAGCCGGTATAGGATAATTGCCTCCAATCTATCTGGCATTATTTTAACATTAACATGTTAATTTCAGGTGAATTTTTAGATGTAGATGTACCGGTTCTTTCTTTATTACATTTAGATAAGTAGGTTAAATACCACTTCTCGCAATTTGCTACTCAAAGGGCTATGTCACTTCAGCTGACGGGGAATGTTGTACGTTCATTTCCAGCCTCATGTACAGCCTTCTCTCACTTTGGTCACTCTTGATCTGGGTGACAAGGAGGCGGACCGTGATGACATTCTACTTTACAAACCTTCCCAGAACCCAGCTTCAGGGTCCGGGTCTTTGCCAGGACACTGCTGATGGGTTAGAATAACGAAGGCATCGATAATCTCATTCGGGACCAGGCTCTGCAGCTGGCCTCCTCAGCGGAGGCCACTTACACTAAATGAATGTTGAAATCATCCCCTTTGCTCGGACAGATGTGCTGAGCAGAACCGGCAGAACAAAAGGTGTTCTCCAGTGCTGGTTAGATACACGCGGGCAACACGCCGGGGATGCGTTAAGCCTTTAAATGTCCCTAGAAACGGTATTTTGAATCGCCTGACTCTGGCTCTCTCGTTCCTCGAAAAAGCAGGTTGGAATTTATGGTGATTACTTCTCCAAGCACCCTAGATTGCTAATTCCGTTTACGATCGCCCTAAAACACAGAGATCTCCAAAGGAATGGGTCACGGCCAACACCAGAGATAACATGGAAAGCTGTCCAGACACATGTATTTTACTGTGCCGCCTGTCCTACTTATAGCTCTTCATCCACACACTTTCCGAATTCAACGACTACTTCCTCCCAGGGGAGAACTCACACCTACGAGTGATACAACATCTCAACAATGCACGTGGGTCTCTCTCTGGGCCGACATCACCCATGGGAAACATTTCGCCAGAATTCCAAATTGCTAGCAATGGGAATTTCTCTGTGTAGCGGTATTTTCTTAAAAGGTTATGTTGCGTTTAAATAACAAAATCTGTAATACTTGAAAAGAAATGTTCACACCTTATAATCAAGATCCAAGTAGTCGCACTCGCCCTCGGCCTGGAAATGCTGACTGTGCCTGTCCACGGTGAAGTGGACATGCGTGTTCCCAAGCTCGATGAGGATAGAATGCCAGTGCTCATCATCCAGCAGGCTGCCCAGGGTGAGGGTCACATGGGCATCAGGGGAGGGCAGGTTAGCACGGCCTACAAGGACAGGCGAAGCAAATAAACCGCCCCATCCAACCCGGTACCATGGCTGCCGTGTGGGAGGCCAACTCTTCCCCAAATCACTTTCCTTGCACACTTCTATCCGGAGAGCTGGTCAACTGCCTTTACCTCAGCCTCATGTACAACCTTCTCTCACTTGGGAATGATTTCTTCTATCTTTCTTGTGTTTATTATTATTAATTATTGCATTTTCGTTTTTCTCGGAAGTATCTTTTTCCAAGAACCTCACGAAGAGCACCGCCTCACGGTTTCAGGGATCCACCCCTTGTCCTTACAATATTACCAGGTTGTCTACTGAACATGTGCAAATGGTCTTACACACTAATCAAGCTATAAAACTTGTTACAGTAAAGTACATTCGGGATACATGCGTGTTCTCCGTAGTACACCTCAACAGTGGAGCGACCACGCTTCCATTTGCCTAGACCGTTCTGGGTCACACTTCTTGCTCCAGAGTAATTATTTCTAGGGTCTTCTTTCTTTCTCGAAAGTGTTCTGGTTTCAGGATAAATTAGCTACTTAACTGTGAAAAACTAAGCATAAAAAGATACTTCCATCTAAAGAGGCATATTTTTTAAAACACCCACTGGGAACTTTTTACCTGAATTAAGCAATAAGATGAGCTTTCCTCTAACTAACTGCAGGGTGACGTGTTTGCCGTTTTGTCCTTCTCTGTGGAGTAGAATCCCGTCAGTCTGCCTGGTTTTAAATTTCAAAGAAATAACATCTTTTGCTGGACTCACAGATTTCTGATTAAACGTGTATAGCAAGGAGCTTTTCCCATCAAAGTTAACCATCTCAGATCCTACAGCAGGAGACATTAGAAAATAATCAAAGTATAATACATCTTTACTCATGCACTGAAATGAGCAAGTTGACACAAACACACACACACATAATATATCTCTGGTCTGTTTAGTGCAGAGGGGAAAAAACGGTGCTGCCCATCCTCCCCAATAGCCATAGCTGAGATCCCTAACCTCCACTCTTTGCCTTTTCTGACATTTTCCCTAACATGTATCAGCTAGAAATACTTCTGTTGACTAAGCCCAATTGCTTCTGCCTTTGTATTGAATTATGCAATTATTGAATACATGCAAAACAATACCTCTGGCCACTTCTCATCCTGTAAACAATGAAGATCGGTAAAACAGTTGAAGTCACTCCCCACAGTGGCACATCGTGGCTATGAAGCTGCCATTGTCCCTCAGTTGTCCAATAGTCTTATTTTTCCCACTATCAAGGTCACTTGCATTCTCTTTATTGAAAAAGTTATATTTTATCATTAACGTAAAAAGAACACTGGTCAAAGAAACCAAAGACAGAACAGGAGATGCACAAAGGGATTCATACTAACTACCCAGAAGAATCTCTCGTATTTCTCATATTTCACAAGTAAAAAGACAAGACGTTACTGTCCTTAAAAAGTCAAAAAACGTATGATTTTACTCACACGTGGAATCCAAAAACAAAACAAAAAAATGAATAAACAAACAGAAAGCAGAACCAGACCTATAAATGCAGAGAACAAACTGGTGGCTATCAAAGGGACGGGATGGGGGATGGATAAAGTGGGTGACGCGGAGCGGCAGGTTAGGGCTTCCGGTCATGGAGTGAGTGAATAAGTCACAGTGTGAAAGGTACCACCAGGAAAATAGTCAACGATATTCTAATCGAGTTGTACGGCAACGTGTGGCAGCTATGCTGGTGGTGAACATCGTACAACCTGTAAAATCGTCAAATCACCATGTTGTATACCTGACACTAATGTAACATTGTGTGTACGCTGCACTCAAATTTTTGAAAAAGAGGTTTTTTCAAATGTGTGTGTGCAATAAATGAAGGTGCAAGAGGAAGCCAAAGAAACAGGAAGCTGATGTCTTCTGAGCCGGTGATACGACGTTGGGTTTATTTAACTTCACAAAAGCCTGGGGCCAATGTACATTAGGACCTGCATTTCATTCAGACGAACTAAAACATTTACAGCAAACCCTTTATGTTCACAACTCTAAGGAATCCTTTATTTCATGCAGCCACCTTTTGAAAATTCAGGAGTTTGATTCCGGTTCCCATACATGGTGGAAAATATATAAACACAGCAGTGTGTCTAAAAATCATGGAAACAAGCAATTATTCTCCGTTGCATAGTTAAATGAACATCTGATAAAAACATATCCCTTTGTCAAATTCTAATGAATTGTCCTGGCGTTTTGGGTGAGCACAGATCTGGCCCCATCCCAGAACTGCGACTCTGCTGGCCTGGGGTGGGACCTGAGAGTCTGCTTTTCTGACGCGTCCCCTAGTGGTATTGACGATGTCGATGCTGCTGGTCTGGTGACTACATATGAGAACCACTGCTCTACAGAACCTAGATTATATTTCCAGGAACATTCCCCTCAGGCAAAATGGAGTAGTGAAAAATTTATTGGATTTATAGAAACACAAAAGAATGGGCTGAAAATCCTTTTGTTGTAATGTTTTCATTTCCTCTCCAGTGAGCTCCCTAACACTTGTACCTAGAACAATCAACCACAGCTAATCATCACATTCTATCTTACGAGGCACATTTAACATGTGTTTTGACAGGTTCTCTAAGCCTAGAAGGGGACTGAGTTATAATCTAGAGAGGTCATCAATGGAGTAAAACAGAACCACTTCAAAGAACATATATTGTTGTAGTCCTGGTGGTTTCACTAAAATCTTAAATGGTAACAAAGGTAAGGTCAGTGGAGAGGAGTTAAAACAGCACAGATAAAAATGAGGAATTGCTCTCAGAAGTCTGGAATGTGAGGCTGCTTTCTCTTCATCTGAAATGACCCACATCACTCTGCAGCCTGTACGGCCCCATGAGCTAATTTTTAAACGTTCGTTAAAAAACAAAAAAATGAAGAATTGTGGCAGAGAACACAGGTTCCCACAGACCTAAAATGTGTGCTGTCTGGCCCTTTACAGACACCTGTCAACGCGCACTCAGTGCCATTAGCCAGTGATCCTTTCTGAGCCAGATTCCTGACTGCTTACAGGTGGCCGTGATAAGAACCAGCTCACCGCAAGACATGTGGCGATCCTTCTTCGATTTAAATATTAAAAACCCTATTTTAGATGGGAAATCACAAATTTAATTATTTTTGTTGATCTACCTGTTGATCTACCTGTTGCATAATTCAATACACTTCGTTTGTGGCTTTTCATGAATCTATATTTATGAGGTCAAAAAATAGGTAAATATTCTGGCTCCTGTGGAATATCAGAGAAGACTGGTTTTATACGGACCATCTTCTGTAGCTTCAGACCCTGCCTTGGCAGGGATTTGGCTTTGGAAAATACAGTTTTGTTACTAAAAGACCATTTTCCCCCATATTCCCTTCCTTCCCAACCCCCACACTGCCCTGACTTAATTTCCATTTGTTCCCTCAAGTACACTCTATTTTCATTTAACATGGGTGTAGCACCCACTAGGTGCTGGGATGAAACCCAAGAGGACAGACATGGCTTGGCCTTCCAGAGCTGACAGTGCTCCCCTCACCTTCTCGCTTCAGCTATCATGAAAAGAACACATTTCACCAGGAATAGCCTAGTCTTACTGCGGGCTGCTTAGGAAACTGGAGACGAGGAAGCTCACAGTCAGGAAGAAGGAAGTGGAGCATGGGGGAGGTCTTCTCTAGGGAAGTATCGGGAAAGAAAGAAGGTAAGACCTTACCAATCATATGGCATGTGTCACACTCAGTTTTCAGATAGGCACCCAAAAGCAGCCAACACTGTTCAAACAACGGGCCATACTGTTGATCAAGAAGCCCCTCATGACAAACGTAAAGCCCACGTGATAAGTAAGAGTGCGCCTGTCACAAGGACGACTTACAACGGGAATTGTGGACTGGAAACTCAGTTTCAGGCCTCGTCAAAGAGAATCAATTCTACAGAATGTTGTTCACTTACAAACGTTCATGAATCAGTCTGAATATCTGAAAACAAATGGACATGTCACTAAACATAAAATGACATTTTTATTTTTATTTTTTAAAGATTTTATTTATTTATCTGACAGACAGAGATCACAAGTAGGCAGAGAGGCAGGCAGACAGTGAGAGGAGGAAGCAGGCTCCCTGTGGAGCAGAGAACCCGATGCGGGGCTCGATCCCAGGACTCTGGGATCATGACCTGAGCCGAAGGCAAAGGCTTTAACCCACTGAGCCACCCAGGCGCCCCTAAAATGACATTTTTAAACATGTGTCACTCATATACCATTTTTAAAGGCAATAGATTTTTTTTTCAAAGATTTTATTTATTTGACAGACAGAGATCACAAGCAGGCAGGGAGGCAAAGAGAGAGAAGGGGAAGCAGGCTCCCCACTGAGCAGGGAGCCTGATGTGGGGCTCAATCCCAGGACCCCGGGATCATGACCTGAGCCAAAGGGAGAGGCTTTAACCCACTGAGCCACCCTAGTGCCCCAAGGCAATAGATTTTTTAAAAAATTAAACCAAAACATCGTATTGTGGGACAGAGAAGACTTAGCTTAGTGAGTTTGCAGCAGCTAGCTCTCCAAGCACGGATGGGGAACAGCCCATCTGTAGAAGTAGAAGTTCCTTCACCTTCATGCCCATGTTGGTGATAGCCATCAAAATATAGCCCCAGTTAATAAAACTAATAATTATAAATTAAAATCAAATAAATTGGAAAAACACTTCGCATTTTCAATGAAGTATCATATCACATTTTCCATTTTGGAACATAGGTTCTGCACTCTTGCAATGGACAAAACTATTGGTTCTCATTCTTATTCATAATAAGTGATCTCCATCTCAAGTACCCCAATAATTTAATTAGTTGAATTACATACAAACACATTTTTCACGAGCCTTCTTGTGAAAGTTAAGTGTGATGCTAAGGGGTAATTTAATGCATTATTTTGGAGTTTTTATTCAAATAAAAGTATGTTAGAGTTGGTTATTTGTATTAATTATGGACATTTAAACTTTTATGAATTTATATTATATATGTACTTATATTACATATATATTTTTATTTATAAAAATATATAAATATCAAGGATGTTTTGAGGTTGCTAAACAAAACCTATAAATTTCTGCTATAACAGTCAGTACATTTTTAAAATAAACACAATATTTTAATTTTTTTTAACTAGGCTCCAGGCCCAGCATGGAGTCCAAAGTGAAACTTGAACTCATGACCCTGAGATAGAGACCTGAGCTGAGATCAAGAGTCGGATGCTTAACTGACTAAGCCCCCCAGGTGCCCCAGATAAATACAATGTTTTAAAATGGCCAATTACATGTTTTACTCCCAGTTTTATTTTCATCCCTGACTTGACACAGGACCAGAGTGTCACGGGGAAGATTGGTAGGTCCCCATGGTGTTGGCCATTCTGTGCCTACATAGTCTGTATTCCCAAGGACTCGTGCACTCCTTTCCTCCCTCTTCTCTCCTTCTGTCCTCCCCTCCTTCTCTCTCTCTTCCCTTATTCAGACAAACAACACACTAATGAACACAAGACGACACTACACCACCACAGGATGGGACTAGTACAAGCTTAGGGCAATGCTTGAGAAGACACTGACCATGAACACAGGAGTCAAAGTGGAAAAGAAGGAGCAGAAGACACCCCAGGGAAGAATAACAGTCAAGAAAGAAATGAAGGAGGACCTGGGGCCAGTGTCGGTGTCTGTGGTTTAAAGAGACCTACGTCGAGGATGTCAACGTGAAACTGATCAGAGTGAGTAAATGTTACTGAAAATTTAAGAAAGCGGAGGACACCCAAACGGAAACCTTTTCAGAGTGGGATACAAAGCCTAGAACAAGTCCGTGGGGAATATGGCCCTGGACACCCCCCTTCTGCACGGCTGCTGGTGGGCATGGGACTCTAAGAAGAGCTCACACACACTCCACGTGCAGTCTAGGAGTTAGGGGAAGGGAGGGATTTCCAGGTAGAGAACGTGTGTGTGCCACCCCAGGAAGCCATGAAGAATGCCTGGTGTTTTTAGGAATAGCAAATATCATTGTAATTGGAGTTTAAAGAAGTAAAACCAGAGAGAGAAGCTGTATCTAAGAGACATTATATGCCAAGATAAGCAATCTGGACATTTTCTCAATATCAATAGAGCAGTGAGATTAGAAATGGGGGGGGATAATAATTAGCACTTTGGGCTATAAATCATATCATATACAATTACTGTCAAAAACGAAAGTGCAAAGCTCTACGCTTGAACAATTGCTCTTATTAATAGTAAGAATAAAGACAAGACAGAAGCTCCACTAGGAAGCCACGGACGCCGCACAGTTTTGCGAGTTGCGGTGACTGTTATCGGTCCACAGTTTTAGGCTAGGAGCCCCCCGTGGTGCACAGCTCGTGTTTGCTGACTTAGGGTGCACGCAGGTCCTTCCCGGGACCAGGCCCGCAGCTTTGACCTCCCTGGGACTGACCTCTCCCCCAAGGAGGTGGTACCGCCTCACAAAGAACATCAGGCTAACGGCAAATCGCCATCAAAGACCTTGCTCTGCTTTGAAGTCAGTAAACCCAGAGTCATGTGAGGAAGGAGAAGCTGATTTTATGGGATCAAAGAGAAAACGGAGTCTCGGGTGTCCCAGCCGCTTGCCGCAGTGAGCACGTTCACGGAGCTCAGACACAAAAGGAGGGAAAGCGATGGCCCATGGAAAGAGGGGGGAAAGGGCGGGCAGCATCGCGAAACCATCTCCGCTGAATGTTGCGTGGAAGGGCCAACACAGAGGCAGGGTTTGGAAATGGATTGAAAGCAGAGCCTGTCTGAGCTCAGGAAGATGGTGGAGCTGAGGCCGAAGGGGACCCTTAAATCTAGGATGAGATCACTTCTGGGACGGTGAGCCCCACCTCCAGAAGGTCTCCCTGCCTGTGGGATCGGCAAAGGGGCGATGGTATCCTTGCTTTGCAGCGGCTCCCTCTGCCCAACAGCGCCCACACTCTCCCAGACCCCAAGACCACAGAAGCCCAGAGTCCCACAGCCACTGTGTGCACGCTCCTGCCTTCCTCCCTCCAGAAGCCCCCCCACCCCAGCTCACTCCGCAAGCCCTTCACTCAGAAAATGGACTGACCGCCCTCCTCCCTAGGCCCCAGGATCGTGTTCCAATATTTCACATTTGTTTTGTTCAATTTTATGACTTCTCATAAAATCCTGATGAAGAAAACCAATCATTTTAGAAGGGCCCCTACATCCAGTCCCTAACACAGTTCTTTGCAAATAGTAAGTGACCGATAAATTCTGACATGGCACATGAGGGAACAAAGAAATGAAAGCCTGCATAATATAGTAGTTATGAGAACCAAATTTGGGGGTTTTTAAATCATAGGTCCAGTATGGAATAGCTCTTGCAAACATCTCCATGTCTCCACGGTCAAGTTCTTCTCCCTTGAGGCCATACCAGATCTGTCTGGCCGGTCTGGTTGTTGAATGAGAAAATGTCTGCTAAGTAGGATCTGACATATTAAACATTCTGCCTGTGACAGATCTCACTGACACTTTTCTGCAAAGCTAATGCTCTGATCAGGTATGTAATGAAGTGTGACAAAAAACCCAGCCTCCCACGATGTTCCCAGCCAACATACTCTTTGGGTTATTCTCCAGTTTTCTAGAAAATTTTCATTAATATTTTTTTCTTTTTGTGCTCATTAAAAAAACTCCAGCATATTCCAAATCATCAAAATGGCAACGGTAGAGTCGATTTCCCCACAGACGTCACTGAAGCATTTCTGCTTGTGTTCATGCTCACACTGGCTGTGACTTTTGTCCCTCTGCTCATCAGTGGGGAAAAGAGGGAAGACACAACACATAAGTGATGTTCAAACAAGGGTTCACGTTGAGGAAAGTGGGGATTTGAGCAGCGAATATGGGAGAAGCCCAGAGTCGTTTTGGATTATGGGGAAACCAAGATCACCGGCTGTCCCCTGCGTCCCCACACCAGGGTCACCTCAGTGCCCAAGAACGACACCATCCATCACAGTGAATTGCTGTGGTTGACTTGGACCTCGTTGTTTAGATGACGCACCCACTCTAAAACAGCTACCCTGCTCTCTTCTGGGAATCTCGGATTCCGAGGCTCAGTTCGGGCCCACCTCTATGTTCACTTAAAGTAACTAAAGACAGCAGTATCCAGGCTTTCCACAAAATCACACACAGATGCCTAAAAAGTTAGAAACAAGTCAAGCTCGGTTTTCAGCCTGGCCAAGAGAGCATGTCCCTCTGTCACTGATTTTGGGGCGAGGAGAGGGGTAAACAGCACTTACGGTACGTGCATCCGTACACTTCTATCCTCATCCCGATCCTGCCCTTGGGGCTCCAGGCTAAGGGGAGGAAGCGCAGGAACCTGGCTTCGAGGGGAGGCCGTAGTGGGTGATGCACCACGCTGTCCGCGTTTGTGTTTCCTGGAAAACCCTGGGAGAGAAGGAGAAAGGATCAGTGTGTCTGCAGAACCCGGAGCTCCCAGCTCTTCTCCTGCGGGTCAGGGACAGAAGCTTCACTCCGTTCTTATGCAAAAGCCTGCCTGCTTCATAGAAAGTCTGCTAATGTTTTAGGGGGATGTGACCACCCTTCCTGAGGGCCTGGATTAGTCACCATTGTTCTAAGTTTTCCTCATTTGCAGGGTGATTTACATTTCAGCACCATTAAGCTGGGTGTAAACCTGCCACCCTTGAAGGCTTGCCCTTCCCCTAAAGCGTTTCCCTCATCCGTAAGCAGCGGAGACGCTCTCCCGCAGCCCACATCCAAGGCAATCAAGCACGATGTAACTTGCCGTCCGTGCAGGAAGAACCCTCGACTCGGGTGTGAGCGCTGGGAAGGACCTACACAGGGTTCTAGTTCCAAACCCTTCGTTTATAAAGGCAAAACCGAAGTCCAAGAAAGTAGAAAGAGTCTGTGGCGGTAGGACAGCGGCTACCCGGCAGGGCCACGACTAGATTCTGGGCTTTGGATTTCAATCGCAGTGTTCTTAGTGTGCGGTCAGGCTGCCCCCAAGTTAGCCGCATTTCGGGAGCACTGGGGAGATCCACAAGACAGAGGGGTGCCCTTGCCTGGACACAGGCACCTGGCCTCAGGCCAGAGGGGGACACCGTGAGCACAATGGACGTTGTTACAGGGGACGTGTGACTCATTTCTCACCGCGTTGATTTCATGTGAAGATCAGCATATGGGGAAACCCAAAAACGGGTGATGCTCGCATATACACACATCGATCATATCACTAATGATTTAATCTATTTCAGACAGCTGTGTCACTAATGATTTCCTCGGTTTCTCAAAGGTAACACATACATGCGAGAGGAATGGGAGAACAGAGCACAGACTCCAACACCAGGAAGTGCGTCCCCACGCAGCCTCTCCGCCCTGACCCGCAACCTCTCTTGAACGCTCCTGAAGTGCTCCGTACTTGCATCCGGGGAGAAAAAGGTGGGTGGGCTTCCGATGACATGGACTTAGTCACCCCTGTGGCGAATCCGCTCCCCTCACCCCTACGGTCCTGCCTACCTTAGCATTAACTCCCGCACAGTGATCTTCCAGAAGCTGGAGTGTGAGTCACAGGATCCCGGCTCTCCCGTAGACAATTTGCGCCTGTGAAGTCGCCTGAGACGCTGGGCTCCTCTGTCCTGCCACCTGGGCCCCAGAACCTCCACTAGCCTCCTTCACACAGGATTTCGACGGGCTCTTCCTGCTCTGGGTATTTCGGTGTCTGCCTCCAACACCGTACACCCGCTTTTAAAACTAATTCCATCGACTCTTCCTCAGATTGTCCATCAGTTTTCCCAGAGGACCTATGCAGCAGCAAAGCCATAACAGCCTAAGGGTTTCCAATTGTTAACACAGCATCTTAGCGGAAAATGCTGCCCCGTCCAAGGACCTTACTGTTCTACGCTCTGAAAACAAACAGAGCCCCAGCTATGGTGCGTCTCTTCTAAAAATCTATGTCAACTGGTACATCTACCTCAATGCTATCAGTTCTTTGGAACCCCCTGTCAAAAGTTCAAGTTCTGCGTTCTTTGATCTCTCCAAGTTTTATCATCCAGAGGGCCAAAGATATTCTCATAATACTCCTTCATATAATAGCAATAAAATGAGGGAACAGAAGACTTGACCCTTTCTTATGCTCCCTTGCACCAGAAGGACACACTCCGCCTCCCACCACAGTTAAAAAGGTCAGACATATTCACGCCGCACGGGAGCAAAGCTCGTCGCTGGGCCAAAAAGAATGCCCCATCTCGTCATTTTGCTGTGTGAAGCAAAGCAAACCCTAGACCTGGCTTAACACCCAACCCCAACCAAACCAAGCCCAATCACTACTCGGGCTCGTAAGCCATGACAAGCAGGCAGGAACAGACAGAACCAAGAATACAGAACACTCAAATGTGGTATCAGGGCCAGTCTCAGACCCTATAACACTTCCTCTTGGCTAGTGAACGAAACATCATCTGGGAAGCCCTCCAGCCTCTCTCTCTTGCTCAGTGGAAGCACCATCTTTGTCCAACGTCACCTGTTCTTCAAGGGTTGGCAACTGTTACACCAAGAGCAGGCAAACCCTCTCCATTGCCTCCACGCTCTGAATGGGAAGTCAGGAATGTGCCCTCCCTGCCCCCAGCTTCCTGTAGGAACTGCAGGCTGGCCTGGGTAGGGGCTGCTTTGTACCAACACATCACTGTCCGGCACGCGCTCCTGTTATTACGGGCTCCCAGACCCACTGCCTTCATCCACAAAACCAGCTTGGTCCAGCGAACTCTGAAGGTTGAGGAGCTATTACATGAGATAATACTTGACAATCATGTTCCCACACCTGCCTGGAGGTAGGCGGTCCACGAGCACCAGCCACTGTGGCCACGGCCTTGGCTGCCATTTTGGTTATGGCAGGCGCATCTGGCAGAGGCTGCTCGTCTGTCCAACTCTGCATCCCGTTCCTTACACTCTGTCTCAGGTTCAAGACCCGAGACGTGCAGATCACCGTCGGCTCCCACGTTCACTGTGATGCCAAGGTTACAATTCAACCTCAGAACTGAAGTCCATGTTTATCTGAGGGTAACTGACAAAAACTAGGAAAGGTACTTGAACAAATTGTTTTATTTTCCTTGGATATCATTACTTCTTTCTGAAGCACTTTGTCCGTGGAAGGTAAATTCTGGACACCATCATTCAGACTGTGTGATGACAACGCCATATAGCAAAAGGAATTTCTAGTGCTGTTTTAATGGAATTTAGACAGAATACTATTTAAGGAACATTTCAAGTGTCAATAATGTCTTAATAGTCTCTGAAAATAGGAGAATCAGAAGGCACTCTTTAAAACTTCTGGGAATCTGTGTATGAAACATTTGTCACACACGATTTTAATTACATTCAGATATTGGAACGTATGTATGTATGAGTATGAAGTAAGTCCTTTGCCACATCGACTCACCGTTTTCCAGGGATGATAAAAGGCTGTGGGGGCCAGAGCAGAGAGAAGACAATTCTCCATGGGTTTCTCCCATTTCTGCACATCTTAGAGAGCGAAGCCCTGACTGTCTTTTCTTCTGAACTGCCTTGCAAGGACATTTATATAGAAAGCAGCCCTGTAAGATCATTTTTTTTTT